GGAGGGTGATGCTAATATGACCGCAGCGTGGCGGGTAAACACAGCTGCTAAGCCTCGGTACATATAGTACAACCGGTTTATAAAGATAAATCAGTATATAATACTTTAAATGAACATGATTTTGAAATAAAACCTCCAGCGCTGATGCTAGAAATGATCTCCTAAATTCCAAAAGGTACAGTTAGCAAACCCCACCCAGCCTTCACTGCCAGATCTGCCTGTTTCCAGCTGTCAGGGATCCAGCAGTGAGGCAGAGATACAGAAGGCTAATTAACCCAAAAATAAACAAAATCCAAAACAATGAAAAAATCAGATAGCAAATTAAAGAGGTCAATACCGACCCATCCGTCCTCTTCCGCTTATCCAGGGTCGGTTTGCAGCGGTAGCAGCTTCAGTAGGGAGGCCCAGACGTCCTTCTCCCCAGCCTCTTGGACCAGTTCCTCCGGGGGAACCCCAAGGCGCTCCCAGGCCCAGGAAACAGGGGCCATGTGGTGAAAAGTTATGAACAGAATCTGTAACAAAGGGCAATCTTGGCAGGGTCCAACTCTCACCGGAAACAAGCCCGACTTACTGCCGGCAATCTAGACCAGGCTCTGACACCGGTTGTACAGAGACCTAACAGCCCCTATTAAAGGGCCAGTACTCCATACTCCCGGACTACCCCCCACAGGACCCCCGAGGGACACGGTCGAATGCCTTTTCCAGATCCACAAAACACATGTAGACTGGTTGGGCAAACTCCCATGCACCCTCAGGGATCCTGCTGAGGGTGTAGAGCTGATGCAGTGTTCCACGACCAGGACGAAAACCACACGCTCCTCCTGAATCCAAGATTCGACTATCCGATGGACCCTCCTTTCCAGAACCCCAAATAAATCTTACCAGGGAGGCTTAAGAGTGTGATTCCTCTGTAGTTGGAACACACCCTCTGCTCCCCTTTTTAAATAGGGGGACACCACCCCAGTCTGCCAATCCAGGGGAACTGCCCCTGATGTCCACGCAACGGACCCCTGGGGCCTTACCACCGGGGAACCTTTTAACCACTTCAGTAACTTCAGCACCAGAGATTGGAGAAGCTGACCCGGAGCCCCCAGGCTCTGCTTCCTCAATGGAAGATGTGCTGGTGGAATTAAGGAGGTCTTCGAAGTACTCCACCCACCAACATACAACGTTGCGAGTCAAGGTCAGCAGCAACACCCCCACTATAAATAGTGTTGGTACTGCACTGCTTCCCCCTCCTGAGACACCAGATTGTGGACCAGAATCGCCTCAAAGCCGTACGGAACTCTTCCCACACCCGAGTTTATGACTCAGCCTCCAGCCGAGCCACCGGACGCTTTGACTGTTGGTACACATTAGTTGCTTCTGGAGTCCCACAGGTCAATAAAGCCTGATAGGACTCCTTCTTTAGCTAGCTAGTCAACTGAATACTTAACTTCTAAATTAACAAAAAGTAATTTTTTTAATTTACAAAGCCTCCAGTAGCAGAAAAAAGTCTCTAGATTTGGCGCTAGGAGCTTTTTAGAAATCAAAGTGCTAGAGGGGTCTGAAAAGTGGCTAAATATAGCGACTAAAGCGCTAAGTTAGCAACACTGCTCTTTGCATGGTTTGTTTTCAAATGGTTTGCTGCTGTCTGTTTGGACCTTTCTGAACATGTGCAGCAAATGGACTGATCCAATATGGTGGACACTGCAGGGGGGGGCTGAGACACACTTAATATTATCAGCGTTCTGATGGCATTTTAGCGGAAATATATTAATCAAAATAAGGAATAGTTGTATTAACCATACATGGAAACATAGTTTTATGGGGCCCCCAGGAACTTGGGGCCCTAGGTAACTGACTGGTATTGCCTGATGGTAAATCCTCATAACACAGCAAGGAAGAAGGTGAGAAAATAAAAGGAGTCATAGTCATTTGGACTTCATTACACTTTATTCTGCACTTTAAGACAAGTACCATAAAAAATGAGTTCAGAGCTTTGAAAGTAATTTTCATCGATCCAGATTTAAGTCTAGAAGAACCCCATCTAACCCCCGTCTGCTCACAGGCAGCTTTCTTTCACTTTATAATAATCTGTGAATAACCTGTAAGTTGCTTTAGAGAACAATTTAGAAAGGAAACAAAGGAATCGAGGAGGAAAGGCTTGGATTAGTTCAGCAGGTGAACTGGAATCAATGGGGCAGCCCACAGCAGACATCATAGAAAAGGAGGGATTTAAACTAACCCATCCGCACTTTGTCTTGATTATTTAAACCTAAACTCTGACTTCAGTCTAAATCCAACCAGGAAACTACAGCTAGGAAACCTTCAGCTTCAGGCCCTTTTCCTTTTCTCAAAGCTGCAGAAGCATCATTCATTCTCTCCTTCTTCTATGGAAACGGAACAAAAGTTAATAAAAAGAAAAGCTTAATAAACGATTCTTTCCTTTTAATTTAGACAAATAGGAATTTAATAGTATATTAATTTTTGTGCTTTAGAAGAAAGCTGTTCTCTCTGCCTCTTAGAGATGTAAGCAATTCAGTTTTCAAACCTTTTCATATTTCAGGTGTTTAAAACATTAGAGCTGTTTCATTTTAATAGAAATTTAAAGCTGCAGGTCGGGCTGAAACAATGTCCTTTAGCTGAGAGGGACGCACTTAAAGCAGGAATTATAGCAGGTTTTGCATTTGTGCTGCTATAGGTTTAGACTGCTGGAGGACATACGGACCCCTTTTCATCATCTATCTATTCTCACATTCTGCAGTACTTGTTGGTTCAATTGCTATGGCTCTGCCCTTTCTGCTCTTTCTCGTAGCGCCTTTAGCTGACAGAGCGACCCATTTAGAGAAGCAATTATATAAAAATTGTAAAAAATTAAATATTTGCATTTCAGATTTAATTTTTTTTACCCCCGTCTGTTCTATCCGGAACTCCTCAAGTGGAAAACTTTCGTTTCACCTGGTTTAATTTTATAAAAATATCTTCTTTAAGGAACCTTTTGCTATCCGATTGTCAAATAATCATACAAATAATTGACAGATTAATGGATTTGCAAAAGAATCATTAGTTGCAGCCATAGTTGCAAGTAATTCAGATTCAGATTATTTGTTTTTCTAGTCAGAAAAATAAACCTATGATGAAAAACACAAAGTTTCCTTTGATTTTTAGTAGGGATGCACAATATAATGGGCCCCCTATCGGTATCGGCCTTAAATCTGAATATCGGACATCGGCCACCCCACCGATATTCTACCCGATATTTGATCAGCTTCTGAAAAAAAAAAAAAAAAAAAATACTACTTCTTCTTCTTCCTCTAAAAACTTATTTTTTACAGACTTAAAAACTTCTAAAGACGAGGGAAAAAATATTGATCCATTAAAATATCCCAATATCTTCATATGCTGATATACTGCCATTTAAAAACACCATATCAATCTCTTTTACTAATGAAATATTGCTATATGTCATCGTTATGCTACGAAATCCCCCGAAAATTCACGAAATGTTGCCATATTTTTATATGTTGATATATTGACGCGGCATCGATCTATTTTACTAACAAAATCTCACAAGAATTTGCAAAATATCAGGAGAGTTTGTAACAGAACGATAAAATTTCACGAGATTTTGAAAGTAAAATAGATCGATACCGCGTTTTTAAAAATCTATTTGATATCAGCATATGAAAATATATTTGAGTTTATTATTTTTCAAAGTGTCAGAAATGGATAACAAAGCTGCTATTTTCAATGACTACTTATTTTTGTCCAGCTTTAACATCGGTATCGATATCGGTTATCGGCTACATGAGTTTTAAAATATCGGCATATCGGATATCGGCCAAAATCCCAATATCATGCATCCCTAATTTTTAGAGACTTAAGTAATAATTCAAGTAGCTAAATCCTCTATAGAAATGGGAAAGAGATGGTGAATAACGTTCCTGGGAAATGAAGGAGAAATATCCACCAGATCAACCGGACCACATTTCAATTAATCTAAAATAATCTTAACTTTAAGGACTTCTGTCAATAATATTTCTTTTTTAAATGTTTTCTAAACATTCTATTAAAAAGTCCATTTTGCACCGTTTGAAATGAATTATTTTGCTTTGAACAGGATGCTCGTCCACCAGCAGTGTTTTCTTTACTATTGACCTTCTTCGATCAATAGAACTGGATTATTGGTTTCCATCTCAGTAGGAAAAAACAAAGATTATTAACAAATTAATTCTACTACACCATACAGCGGTGTGAAAAATGTTCGCTTTCATCCTGATTGCTTTCTGGGGCATTTTCTTTACAGTATATTACATTCTAATAAAACAATAAACATGTTTTTGGCCCCAGAAGATTGTCTGTCTGTTGGAGCCCTGCTGTACGCTGCCATCTGCTGGTAGGACTTATTCATGCATCCATCATCATTGCAACTTTAATAAACTACTCAACACCTCCAATCACATTAGATCTGACTTTTCCTCTTTTTTTATTCCTCAGCTGGGAAACAGCTGACGTGCCCGACTCCGTTACCTTTTCAGCATAATTCTCACTGTGTTGTTATAAGAATACAAAATGCTAAAGAAGTGGAGCAAAAATAAAGTGAAAACTGCAGAAACGTATCATAATAAACCTGTAAGGTGCCATAATTCATTCAGGGAGCTTCGTAAGCAGCTTTAAACTGGTGATGTCATCTAGTTCAGACTAAGGGAACAGCCAGGATGCAGGTTGATTAGGAGAGAAGTTAAACCTAAAAGCTGGTTTAGGGTTCTGGGCCAATAATTTCAGCATCATTGGAGGCCTTTTTAGATCACCCAGCAGCATCTTTATGGGATTCCAGTCAGGACTTTGACTAGGCTGTTCCAGGCTGTTTCTCCTTCAGCTATCAGAAGTGAACCTGCTGGTGCCTCGTGGATCATCGTCCTGTTTCAGACCTTCAGCAGGATTCATGGTTCCATTTGTCTTCCAGAAAAACAACCCTAGACCATCACACCACCACCACCAAGAGAGACCTTTTTTTCTGAGATGTGGAGCCGCGTTTCCTCCATGCGTGACGGGAGAAAGGCGTTTGTCTCGAGTGTTTTGGGACAAACAGAGACGTGAAGGTTTGGATCGTCTGTTAACAAAAAGCCTTTAATGAAAAACTGCACGTTTTTCCACCAATATTTGAATCAGTTCGCGTTGAAATACACTCGAGCGTGACAAACATGCCAAAAAAAAAAATGCATCAGGATGACAGGAAAGACGTTTTCCAGCAGTGATATTCGGGAAATGTTCCTGGTATCACGGAGGAAAACCGGACGTTAAAACGGCTCCAATCTACATCTGATGATCTGCTTCTGATTTATTGTTAGCAAAGATCTGAGCTTCACAGATTCATCAACACGGCTTATAAATCCAGAGATGGTTTTTCTGCAGCGATGACAAGGCACATCATTTCACCGGCCCACATCTTTAATCCAGCTAAGGGTCTTCCTCACATCTAAAACCCAAAACAAGGCCGCCATGAAGGACGGCAGACGCCATGGAGTATTGGCAGTCTTCTGCTGCGGCGGCGTATTTAAGCCACAGTGACGTTTTGTAGGATAAGTTTCACCTGTCGGCCTTTCTTCTGGCAGATAACATCACCATTTCCTCTGGGAACTAATCTAAAGTTTTACTGGGTTTATTTTTTTTGGGAGAATCCGAGTGAACATCGAGTTCAGGGTATCGGATTAGCTCTAAACAAGCGTTAAACATTAAACCCTCGTGGCCTTCTCAGTGGACCAACTTTCTGTCAGCACACAACAGGAGAAGAACTCAGCAATGAACTCTGGATCCATGAACGATGACGGACCGTTAGAATATGACGGCTGGCGCCGCTGAAAAAAAAGTTAAAAGGAAAATAAAGAGGCAAACAAAGAATCCAATCAGTCCAAGGCCGGCGGCGTGGAGTCAGGGCTGGGAGCTGCCCTGGCTGTCCAGGTCCGTTTCAGAGGAGCTGGTATCCGAGTCCGAGTTGTTGTCGTTGCGAGTGTCCTCCGCCAAGCTCTTTTCCCGTATTCGCCTGTGAGTGGCGCCGAGACGAACCAGCAGGCTCTGGTAATCGAAACAACCGCGCTTCTCCCCAAATGGGTCCTGGGAAAAACATAAACCAGTATAGAGCGTGACGCCGTGCTCAGCCTCAGGATTATGGAAGCAAATCGTTACCATATTTCAATGAAAAAGCATTTCCAGAAACAGTTTTTCATTTTAAGACTGTGGCTGCATTATTTGACTCATAAATGAAAATAGTAATCAATCATCCTGTTTTCATTTTCTTCATCAACACCGCTCATCCTTTTACTTAATTAAAATGGAAAAAGAAAGAAATTTGAGATTTATTTTTCAAAATGTACCCCAACAAATACAAACCAAAATTCAATTTGAAATGTAAGATGTTGGAATTTTTTTCATTTTCAAATTTTACATTTCAAATTTTAAAATGTGTTAGATTTCAGGTTAAAATGAATGCCAGAGAAGATCATGGCTGTACCAGTAACGGTTTGACTGTTTTAGGTAAAGAAGCCAAATTGAGCTCCTTTCAACGTGAAAACCCAATTATGGCCATAGTTCCTCAACTTGTGATTTGAAGCTTGGAACCAAAAATTTCAGATTGCCAGGAGAGATCATGGTTCTAACATTAAAGGTTTGTCTGTTTCAGGTAAAGAATTAGGTTCTGAACAGAACCAGAGATGAGGAGGTTCTGGTTCTGTATGGATACAGAGAGGAGGAAGTTCACGTTCTGAACTGACCCAGAGAACGAGAAGGTTCTGATTCTCAACGGACCCAGAGAGGAAGAAGTTCTGGCTCTGAACGGACCAAAGCATCTCCAGAAATGTTTTTCATTTTAAAGGAATAGTACACCCAAAACATGATTAGCCTTCATTTTCTACTCACCCCCATGCTGAACAACACTCGAGTACTTTTTTGATATCTCAAATGCATCTGGAGATCTGGGAGGCTTCTTGCTGTCTGCTGACATTCAAATAATGGAGGTCTATGGCGCCCGAGGCAGAAAGGTCCATAAAAGTCCACAAAAAACGTGTCAATATTCCTCCATACTGCTCGTCCAATGTATTCCAAGTGTCCTGAGTGGGTAGCATCCAGAATTTACTCAAAACCAAGTCATTTAGAATGTTTTTAGAGCATAAACAGTAGTGTATAGGATTTCCTGAAAGCGAGTTCACGAGTCTACGGAAACCGCGGCAGACCAAACCAGACGAAAGTGCGCATTCAGCGTCTGCTCTGCCGATAATGCAAGCGTAGAAGAAGAAATGTGCTGTTTACCTGTGCAAAGAAAGAAACAACGAAAGAAAAATGTCTGAGGACTTCAGTGTTGAGGAAGAGCATGAGTTCTTTGCCGAGCTGAATGCGCACTTTCATCTGGTTTGGTCTGCCGCGGTTTCCGTAGACTCGTGAACGCGCTTTTATGAAATCCTATACAATACTGTTTATGCTCTAAAAACATTCTAAATGACTTCGTTTCGAGTAAATTCTGGACGCTACCCACTCAGGACACTTGGAATACATTGGACGAGCAGTATGGAAGAATATTGACACGTTTTTTGTGGACTTTTATGGACCTTTCTGCCTCGGGCGCCATAGACCTCCATTATTTGAATGTCAGCAGACAGCAAGAAGCCTCCCAGATCTCCAGATGCATTTGAGATATCAAAAAAGTACTCCAGAGTGTTGTTCAGCATGGGGGTGAGTAGAAAATGAAGGCTAATCATGTTTTGGGTGTACTATTCCTTTAAGACTGTGGCTGCATTATTTGTCTCATAAATACAATTAGTAATCAACCATCCTATTTGCATTTTCATTTTCTTCTTTAACACTGCTCATCCTTTTACTTAATTAAAATGAAAAAGAAAAAGACATTTGAGATATTTTTCAAAATGTACCCCAGCAAATACAAACCAAAATTCACTCTGAAATGACCAAAACAGTGGCAGAGCTACGGAGGGAAGCCCTGCTGCTTTAGAGCAAGTGCTTTTGTTCATTGTAGTCGTTCAGTATATCCCGATAATCAGACCCAGCAATTCAACCAGTGTCCCAGCAGCACGCTTACAATGTAATGCAATGCAGACGTGCACAGCGCCCCCTACCGAACAAGATGGCTAGCCCGGTCAGCAAGGACCTGAGGAAGAGCGGCTGCTGACGTCACTCTGCTGCCCCCGCCACTCAGAATGCTTTTTCGTTTTCGAGTTATGGACAGAACTTTGCTGGCAGACCATGAAAACGACAAAGCAATGTCCGCTGTGTTTTCTCTTTGATTATGGCATAAAATGAGCAACCTTAAAGAAGAAAATTTAAATAGGATGATTGATTACCAATTTCATTTATGAGTCAAAAAATGCAGCCACATTCTTAATTTTACATTTCAAATTGAATTTTGGTATGAATTTGCTGAGGTTCTTTTTGAAACATAAATTTCAAATTTCTTTTCATGTTAATTAAGTAAAAGGATGAGTGTTGAAGAAGAAATGAAAATGCAAATAGGGTGATTGATTACTAATTTTATTTATGAATCAAGTAATGCAGCCACATTCTTTAAAAATTCTTTTGAAATATGGTAACGATTTGCTTCCATACAGGATGGCGTCACCAAAAAAATCAATCAAGCAGAAAATGATTCAGCATCTCATGTCGGTATTGTCTGTTTTTCCGGTTCTTTCTTTCCGGTGACTTATGGTCTACATGAGTTGGAGCATCAAGAATCCACTGGAACCCTTCAGTTCTCTCAGAATATTTCAGATACCAACGAAGAACAATCTACATGAGACAATTGCCGTTTCTCAGTTCACTAGAACACGAGTACGGACTCGGACAGCTTCGAGGTTAGCGCTCAGAGAGCTCAGAGTATTAAGTTAAACGTTCTATTTTCTGTTGCTGTTTAACAAAGTACGTTTTTAGATCATTTGATGTGAGAACATTATATTTTACTGATTTAGTGCCTGGGTACAGCAGCCAGGGCTAACGTTAGCCCGCCCGCAGCGGCCAGGGCTAAAGTTAGCCCTGGCTGCTGCAGCCCTCTGTTAGCACAGCCGTGTGTGAAGTACCACGGGTTTGTTTTGGTTTATTTGTTGTTGTTGTTTTTTTCGCTTTATTTTCTAAAATGTTAATTTGATTTGTGTTTATCCGACTGTGTTAATTAACTAACCCCACTAAATGAAAAAGTAATAATTTATTATTATCTAGGAGGTGAAATGCAGCTCCAGACTAGCTTTGAATGTGGTGATGTCATCAGTACGCTTCTGTTCCAATTGACCCAGATTTCTTCTGCGTTCTCCCGTTCTCCTGAGCCTACACTTTCCTGTGTTCTTCTCAAGAACATACTTGGTGAGGACACAAGTCCGTACTTGTGTTCTTGTGAATTGAGAAAAGACCACAGCTCTGTGCACCAGCATTTGAACGTTTAGCTAAAGACACAAGCAACAGGCCAAGAGAAATGGTTCTAACAGGATTAACACTTACACGTCTGGATAGAAAAAAAAAAAAATCCCTTCAATCTAGATCTGCCAGACTTGATCATACCTTTATTCACTGGTTAGTTCATTTCATTAGGGATCCGTTTTATCTGATAACATCCATTAAATAAACGACATGGAACCAAATTTGAACGCCCCATCGTTCCCGGTCTGCCTGAGTGGAACTGATGTGCAGTGGACGATGCTGGGGACAGAAACGCTGGTTGCACAGTTTTTTCCTCCAGCTCTGACACTCAGCCTAACGCTGCGTTCACATTCAGTTCAGTAACAGAATTAATCTGATCCAGCTTAAGTTCCTGTAGCAGCAGACACTGGATGTGTTTTAATGATGATAATAAAGCTCCCTGTTAAAGTTTAAAAGGCGTGAACACATCGGCTGCGTCCGCCTTTTTAATCTCGATCCGATTTATTTAATGTCCCACTGACAGCATATAGAGGCTCCGACTAGGCAGGGCGAGCAGATCAGAGCTCCATTATTTCACTTCTGTCTCTTTGTTAAACAAAAATTAAAAAAATTCCAGAACAGATAGAGAATGTTCATATATTAAAATCACAATGAGATCTACGTCTAAAGAAAAGAAAAAACAGCAATAAACGTCACGGGATGGTTTCTATGCTGCCTGATGCAGAGAGGTGATTCTGAGGCTCCTGTCACACCTAGAACATTTAGAACATCGTGTGCTGGACGTACAAAAATCAGGCTAGTTAGTTTGGGCACAGTTTGCTTGAGTTAAATGTTCTCTTTTTGGTTGGCCTCTTTTATGATTTGAACCCATGTTTTTTTGTAAGCTTCTTTTTTTGGGTTAAAAATAAAAAACCCTATTTTTGAATCAATTCTTGTGACTCTTTATGCTTTTCATCTCGGCCCCTCACAGTGACGCAGGAAGCTGGAAGTGGATCAGCGTTTAAACGACGCTTTGACCGCAGTAACATCAATGAGGATTTCTAATAAAAAGGATTCTAATCCCACCGTCCTTTGACATTTTTCCATCTTCTGAAACCTGTTGAATGATCGTTGTTCTAAATCTAGATCAGCCCACTTTATAAGCCTGAATAACCATGAGCCTGTATTTTATTGTCAATTTCAGTCAAAAATGATTTTAAAAACTGGATTCACCTGCATGTTCTGACCCTGCAGATGCAGCCGCTCTTTGCAGACGCCCTCATAGAAGTCGTAGTACTCCAGGAAGGACTTCTCCATCACGCTACTAAACCCCGCAAACAGCAAACATGACGATACATTCATCAGTCAGTCAGAAACAGAACACAGTAAACGCAGCATCCAAGTCTGGAAAGACTAACTGCTCCTGCTGTGTGTGTGTTTGCTGACCTCAGAGCCTCAGGACAGGGAACTTTCCCCTCCAGCATGTCGCATACAGCCACCCTCATGGTTTCATGGCGGATGCACTCGTTGTAATTCTTACTGTCCCCTGGGTGGCGCTCCTGTAGAGACCAAGGAAAGGAATAAGCTGAAGCTGACAGGAAGGGCTAACGTTAGCCGGTCTGCATCAACTGTTTTTCCTTTCTGAATTTCCAGTGTTTCCATGTCAGAGCAAGCTGATGATTTAGTTCCAGACTGATCAACCTGTAGTTTGATCAGTGAATAATGGAAGAGCCGTTTATATGGAGTCAGAAAGGGGTCAAAATGGTTGTAAACTTCTAAACCTTAGTTGAAACTGAAAAAATAGAAGTTCATATTTAATGTGAGATTTTTACCTTGTAAGGTGAGAAACTAAAAAAGCAAACAAAATAAAAATAATTTAATCTAAATTCAGTTTAGTATTTTATTTAAACCTTTTCCTTTTTATTTATTTTCTTTATTGCAGTTTTTAATTTTATATTTTCAGATTCAAAACCATTTCTTCTTTTTTTAGTTTCAAATAACTTTTTCAGTTTCAGGAGTTTTTCTTTTTATACAAATCAGTTTTTTTTAACCTTCAGATTTTGACCCCAATCTGATGGAAGTGGGAGGGGAAACATGATTGACAGCAGCACTGGAGACTTAAGTCATCAGACAACTTTTACCTTTGTTTTGTATAAACATAGTGTATACAAAACAAAATTTAATTTCCTTGCAGCTTTCAGATAGTAAACGAGCAGCAGCTTAGCAGTAAAATGAACATTTCTATTTCCTAAAGTGCAGCAGTGATCAAATGTCCCTTTCTATGCATCTGTGTACTTTGGGAACTCCAGCTACTTGCTCAACTAGTTGGAGTTCCCACAGTCCATGAATGCAACATGTAATAGGGGGTTTTCAGGGGACGTCACGCTCACCTGACTACTCAGCGCATCCGCCATATTGGGTGGCAGCCTTAGGCAGTATTGACAGTGAAAAATGGTGAAATCGTGTGTAATTGTTGGTTGCACGGCCCGTGGAGGTGGATATCAACGCTCTTTCTATCGCATACCAGCCGTAATCGTGAATAAATGTGAAAAAAACAAAACAGCTATCTGAACAACGCCGTCACCTATGGCTGACACGGATATCCAGGTCCGATTTGGACGGTGTTAAGCTGGAATACGCCAGAGTCTGCAGTGCTCACTTTGTCACAGGTAATTAACTGTCAAGCATTTAAAACATGTAAGAATATATTAATAATAGGGCTTGGGCGTCATGACGTATTACTTTCCGTGGCTGCAATGTGGACCGTCTCCGCCGCCGCTACTCAGACTACTGCCTATTAGGGGTGGAACGATTCACAAAATCCACGGCTCGGTTCGATTCACGGTTTCTGGTCACGGTTTTCGGTTCGATTCGATACATGTTGATTGTTACACCGAAATTCCATAAAAAATTATGAAATCAATGAAAAAATCCCACCAAAAATAATGGATTGTAATTATTTTAAATGATCCGCGGAAACCCTGGATCATTTCCGTATGTTTTGCTGCTTTGAATTTAATCATCTGGCACATGCTCTCTAACCTGACAACAGCCAGATGCATGTCTCGCTCATGTCTCGCTCCGCCACATGCATCTGGCTGTTGTCAGGTTACATGCTCTCTACCATCTCCAAGGGACTCAGAGCGGAGCGGATGAAGCCACAGCGGGGGCTGTAGGCTTTGCTTTGAGCAGCCGGTCTGGAGCGCAGCGGGGCGGAGCGGGGGTTGCTGACGGAGTATGAGGGATTTAGGGGTTAGCATGACATGTTGCTGTTAGCATAAACAAAACGTGTTGCACAATGCTTGCACACTTTTGCACTTTTATCCACAGCTTTCTTTCCTCCGTCATCGTAGGTCACTCTAAATGCAAAGCGGTCCCATACAGCAGACCTATAAAGTGCTGCTGGCGCGTCTTCCAACTCCAGTTCTTTCCCACTCGCCATACCCACACAATTCTCCAAAACAACTGATTTTTTTCCCTGCTACACCCGGCTACGCTGCTTCGCTTCTTCTTCTTCTTGTTTACTACTGGCGGTTGGCTTTGGTCGCAGTACCGCCACCTTCTGTTCTGGAGTGTAACCGCTTCCTCTATGAGAAAAAGGAGCAGCGCATGAACCGAACGAAACACACGCGAACCGAACCGAGACAGTCGAACCGAACGATTCTGACGGTTTTCATAAATCGTCCCATCCCTACTGCCTATGACTACCGCGTACTGGACTCCCTCTCTCAGCCGTGTTTTAATTTGATTAATTTCACCTTAACTTGATTTCAACCAGCGGGAAAAGGCTCAAATATGTGAGAAACCCGGAGGGTTTAGGGAGGTTTGGCAGTTAACGTTACTAACCAAAATCTGAAGGTTAAAAAAAACTGATTTGTATAAAAAGGAAAAAATCCTGAAACTGAAAAAGTTATTTGAAACTAAAAAAAAGGAAAGAAATGGTTTTGAATCTGAAAATATAAAATCAAAAACTGCAATAAAGAAAATAAATAAAAAAGGAAAGGTGTAATTAAAATACTAAACTGAATTTAGATTAAATTATTATTATTTTATGTTTGCTTTTTTAGTTTCTCACCTTACAAGGTAAAAATCTCACATTAAATATCAACTTCTATTTTTTCAGTTTCAACAAAGGTTTAGAATTTTACAGACATTTTGAAAATCTGAAGGTGAAAAAAAATCATTTAAAAGTGTTTAAAAAAAAACTTAAACTGAAAAAGTAAAGGAAACTGAAAGAAAGGGATTTGAATCTGAAAATATAAAATCTAAAACTGTGATAAAGAAAAGAAAAAAAAAGTTTAATTAAAATACTAAACTGAATTATGAAGAATATAGATACAATTCTAATTATTTCATGTTTGCTTTATTAGTTTCTCACATTACAAGCTAAAAATATGACATTCAATATCAACTTGTAATGTTTCAGTTTCAACTAAGATTTATAAGCTTGCAAAAATGTTGACCCCTTTTTGACTCCATACATGTATTCCCTGCAGGAAGTTCTGTGTATGTATGATTACTACAAATCATACGTAACTTTTTTACTTATTTAGTAATGTTGAATATTAGAAACGCTTTGGTCCAAATAATCCCACATTGCCTTTTTGTTCTGATAGATAAAAACAATATTGAATCAGGATGTCCCTAGAAAGGTTAATGGTTTCCTAAAGAGATGAAACAAACCTAACAGCAGAAACAGGGTGTACAGTGGTAGAAGCAGAAACAGAAGAGTTTCCATTGGTTTTACAGCCGCCCAGTATGAACAGCATTACCTGCTCGAAGCCGGGCTCGTTGTGATACGGGTTCTCCGTCATCAGGGACTGAATGGATATGAGGACAGAGGATATGCTCTGTGCTGGACTCCAAGCTGGTCCGGTCCATGTACTACAATAAAAAACATTTCACCAACAATTCCTTCACTTTCACAAATACTTTCCTTATATATTAATTAAACACAATGAACAAAACAATGACTACAGCTCCTAGTTTGTGGTGGTAGGAGTGAGACTGAAGTTTAGCAGAGAATGTTCATTATGCCAGAATGTAGACTTTTTTTTTTATTCTTTTAAATCAGTTTGGTTTTAAAGAAAACGTCCGCTCATATTCAGAATTCAAACTTCTGAAAGTACTTTAAATATGAAATTATTAAATACTGTGTTTTTAATCCGGGTTTATACAGGAATGAGGAACTCTAATTTATTCTAATTTAATTGTGACTGCAGCAATGTCCCGAATTCCTTGTTTTCAAGCCACTTTTGTTGAAATTTTCCCATTCTCTAGCTTTTTCTCCGCAACATACGGCTTTACGATCAACCGGAAGCAGTTACGCGCAAATATATAACAACATAATATATCTGACGAAATTGTTTTCACAAACGTATTTCTTTTCCTTAAATGAAGTATTTTAAATGGCACGATAATCATATTTAATGAATTTTAATGCAAATTAAGGCCTTAATTCAAAAATAAAAATTTAATCCTTTTTAATGTCCTGCAGAAACCCTGTTAATTCAGAGTAATTTTCATGTGAATGTGCTTTACTGGAGGCATCCATGTTTGTCAAAGAACACTACTGCCACCTACTGGTTAGGGACGTCACGGTGCGGTATCGGCTGTTGATCAAGTCCCAGTGCTGTATCTGGTGTTTGTCACAACGCGCTATTATCCAAGTCATCTTGAAAACATTCTTCTTCCAAATGTTGGCTACATATTACGGGTTTTTTCTCTGGCCAGAAGTTCGATGGCAAATCCTCCCTCTTCAAGTTGGCGATCCAACGACCAACCCGTCTGTGGAGGATCAGGAATCAGAAAGGTGGAATAACTCTTTTATTCACTTTTACCCGATGTATTCCAGCATCCAGCTGCCATGCACGTGGGCATTGTCAGTTTCACTATAGCTCTGGTGAATTTCAATGGTGAAGTCCTCTGGAAATCTTCAATAATTGTTGTTGATTGCAGATGTGTCTAGTAGTTCCCATTGATTTAGCTTGTAAAGCGGGGAGAATGGCGCTAGGCTTACCGCACCGTGACGTCACTGCTGGAAGATGGCAGGAGGGAGGGGCTACTATATTTGGGCAAAAATGGCCGCTCCGAGACTTAAATTTTTTTTACTGATGAACACTAAATTCATAAAATCACCACGAACGTATTAGTTTTAGGTATAAATAATGATCCATTGATTATTCCTGCTGACCAGACTTTTCCTTTAAATATAGAATAAACAGTGAAATAAGTCCTGAATCTTAAACACCAGACCAACAGAAATCCAGGCTCACCCCAGGATGCTGAGGCACACCTTGCCGTTGCGGTAGAAGTTGGGGTTAAAGCGGACCGTGTTCTGTCCGGTTGTGATTAGCTTTACTCGTGGCGGATGGATGGGGTAGTCTGGGGGGCAGCGGAACAGGAAGAGGAAGAAGCCGCCCTCATAGGGCGTGTCGAACGGTCCTGTGATCAGAGCATGGATCTAAAACATGGGAGAGATTTTTTATCAGAAAAAGGATAAATGTACTTATCCATCCGTCATGTGTTCGAATATTCTGAATATCCTGAGAACAGTTTTTCTTAGACCCTTTCAGAGGAGATCTATGTAGACCACATAGATCTGCACTTAGAGAGTATGTTTATGAACCTTTTTCTGATTAAAATGCCTGAGAAATAAAGATTAGTGCTTCTATGAACACCAGCCTTTCTGCTTCCAGGCTTCAGCAGATGTGAATCAGATCCTGACTGGCTTCTGTTTTTACCTTGGTCATATCCTGAGGATCTGGAACAACAAACATCCCAGGGGGGGGTTCCTTGTATATTGACATTATGTCCCTGCAACAAAAGGGCACAAGAGAAAAATTAGACATTTGAAACTGGGCAGGACATCCGGTTGTAGCAGTACTTTGTAAGTTCTATAAATCAGAACTTTATGGTAACATGAAGCCAAGCCAAAGGCTTTAGACTCCGGTAGTAAACAGGTAATAAAATGTCACCGCCTCATGGTTTGGATTCAGAGCAAACATACCTCATAATGATTCTACACAGCGGTTTACTTGTGCTGCTATAGGCTTAGACTGCTGGAGGACATAGGGACCCCTTTTTCATCATTCTGATTCATTCTATCTCTATTCTCCCACTCTGCAGAATCTGTTAGTTCAATCTCTAACATTCTGCTCTCTCTGCTTTTTCTCATAGTAGCTTCATCTGGTCTGTTCCTGTTTGGCTGTGACTCCATCCTGGAGAGAAATATCAGCTGTGCTGCTGCCATCAACACCTTTGTTTCTAGATGTTGGAGCTTGGCCTGTTTTCCAGTGTAGTCCTGTTTCTCTGACTGTGACTAACTGGATGTGCTCTCTTCATCCTCTGACATGGGAGCTGACTCGGAGCTCGTCTGCCTGGCTGTGTGTTTCCTGGACGGGGCCGCCTGTGGAGCTGGTTGACAGTTAAAAATAAACAACTTTGTGATCCCTGGCAATGTTGGCCCCCACTTTGAGAACCCTAAGGAGTGCCTTCTAGGAGCACATGGTGCCAGGGGATCTGGACAGGGAGGGATTAACCATTAGGCAATACTAGGCAGTTGCTTAGGGCCCCAAGTTCCTGGGGGCCCCATAAAACTCTGTTTCCATGTATGGTTAATACAGCTATTCCTGATTTGTGCACATTAATTATGTTTTGATAAAAATCCTTTTGCTAAAATGCCATCAGAACGCTGATAATATTAAGTGTGTCTCAGCCCCCCCCTTCAGTGTCCACCATATTGGATCAGTCCATTTGCTGCACATGTTCAGAAAGGTCCAAACAGACAGCAGCAAACCATTTGAAAACAAACCATGCAAAGAGCAGTGTTGCCAACTTAGCGCTTTAGTCGCTATATTTAGCCACTTTTCAGACCCCTCTAGCACTTTGATTTCTAAAAAGCTCCTAGCGCCAAATCTAGAGACTTTTTTCTGCTACTGGAGACTTTGGAGACAACATCTAAAAGCAGCGAACTCTGCTCTCCAGAGCAAGTAGATTGGTTACTAGGGATGCAACAATCTGATATCTTTATCGGTCCAGATATAAGGGAAAAAAATAGATTGGTATCTGTGACAATTGACTCGATATAGGGGCCGATCTATTCATTTTAACTCTATGCTATGCTCTGCCGTCATGCGGAAGCACAACAACACAACACGGCCATATTGTTTATGATAAAGGGAGCGAAACGATCTGCGGTCTGGAGGTTTTTCTCGCTCTCTCATCCTACTAGCCCAATGGCTACGTGCAATATTGGTGGGAGAAATGTCCCGAGGGGCGGTGTTAAATCTTCAAACTATAACACCACCATCTTATTGAAACACCTCCAGAAGTTTCATAACAAGGAACGTGCTGAGATTATCTGACTCGGCAAACAAAAAGGAAGCAGCAGGAAGCAGCTAATTTCTTTGGAAAGAAGTGATATTTTTCCATCTAACAGTATAGAGGCCGAAAAAATCAGAGAGATGATACTTGATAATGATACTTTTTTTTAAAAATGTTGATCAAGTCAGAGAACTTTTGGTTTAAGATTTTGTGCACAGTTGTTAAATTAGTCATAACTTTTATATTTGGGTTGTTTCCTATTTTTTTTTTTAAGAAAAGGGAAGTCAAATCATATTCACATAAGAATGATCCCAGTTTTTTTTTCCCACAGAATAAAACAATTTTTTAGGTAATAAGTGCTGTTTTTGGTATCGGATCGGTATCGGCCGACATTAAACTTCAAATATCGTTATCGTATCGGAGGTGAAAAAAGTGGATCGGTGCATCCCTATTGGTAACCCCGCCTCCTGCTCTCCTGTATCTTGTCTGCTGTCATGATTCATGCAGCTATTATTTCATCCAAATGAAAAATGGAGAACAGATAAGCAGATCATGGCTTGTCTACAGTGAAAAGAAGGACTGGGTTATTTACTTTGGACTTTTTGGAAACACAGGAAGGAGCAATCAGCTAAGTGAGCTTAGTGCTTGGAAAAAATCTTTCATTCCTTTAGAGACAGCATGAAAAGTCAGCTGAGTACAAAACATAGAGAGGAAAACAAGAAGAAAAGGGACAAGAAGAGAGGGACACAACCTAGAACAGATAATGGATGTCTATTCTATCAACATTTCTCTATCTCTAGAATGGGGCTGTTTTATGTGTTGTCTTCTCAATTCAGAGGGCCCCCTGCCTGTCTTTGCCTAGGGCCCCACATTTCCTAAATCCAGCCCTACAGGCCAAACACCCAGGAATATTTTATGACAATTATTAAAAAAATATATGTACAGCAATCTACAATTCCTGAAACAAAACCTAAAGTAAAACTAATTTTCTTCCATAATGATTTATTTCATGATCACCTCACCTTTAAGTCTGTGTAATCTGTGTAATTAAACAATATGAAAATAATAAATCTATTTCATGCATCTGATATAGTCTGTATGTGTCCCTGGCTTTTCTTCTATTGGTAGATCTGGTTAATTCCCACAGAAACACTCAGTAACTAGGCCTTTATAGCTATTAGGACCCAGATAAGCTATAATAAACCAATAAAGGTTAGGTTTTATTCCTCCCTTTTTAACCGACTTGATTTCTCTGTTTACTGAGAGAGCAGATTAAGTTTTACTTTCAGTTTTTGCAGGTTCGCAGCAGGAAGTCACTTTAACCAAACGTTTAAGATTTATTTAATTGAACTTCCTAAAACGTGATGTCAATTAAAAGGCAAGAAAGGGAGACCAAAGGTTTTAAAGACACTGTTGAACCTTGTGTGGATCGTTTCCATTTCAGTGAATCCTCTAATCTTGGTTGACTCACCTCTTGATCCTCAGGATGCATGTCTGGGATGCCTTCTCATTGTCCCAGTCTGCGCTCAGAGTTGGGTCCCAGGAAGTGGCGTGGATCTGGGACAGGAGCCCCCCTCCTGCCAGCCCCGCCACCCCTTGGCCGACACCGGGCAGGGGGGAGGACGTGTGAACGATGGGGGACACGGCCAGGACTGGTGGCGAAGGGCCGGAGCTGAATGCGTTCCCAAAGCCCATGGCTGAAGAGGCAACTGCGGAGATCGGGGACACCACAGCGGCCAGGCCACCGGGCGCGGCTGGGGTTGTAGCGGGAGAGGGGGAGGCCGAGTTGGGGCTAGGGTGAGCTCCGCTAGCGGCAGGGTATCCCCCTGGCAAAGCCGGCAGCGGAAAAGCTCCGCCACCCTGTCCGGGAACGCCTAAACTGTGGCCACCGCCGCTGTACTCCTCTTCAAAGCTGTCCGCCATAGCTGACGAGCTAGCAGGCTAGAAGAAACGAGATGCAGAAGAACCTGTAGAGGAACCTGGGAGCCTCATTGACTTCAGCTGAGAAGTTTCCTCCACCTTTCAGGTTTCCAGCTCAGTCAGAGGAAGAGGAGGCAGCTTGAGGCCAGACCAACAGAGAGAAAAGCAATTCTTCCCAAAACATGGTGCTAGCTGTTAGCTTAAATATACACTCAACTGTTGACGTTTTCCTCTGAATTCAAAATGGTCACCTCACAGCGGAGGCTGTTGTTCGGGTAGATTTGATGAAAATATTGAAAATAATATCGGTAAAACCCGCTTTAAAATGACCGCATCACCAGCATTAAGTAAGCTTGTCGCAACTTCAGGAAGATCCCTCCATCAGGTCGAACGGAAGTGAGAAAATGTGACGCATCCGGTGAAGTTTTTCAAAGTAAAACTGTTTTTCGGTAGCAGTGGCAGCATCGGTACAATAATTCATGCGACCAGGAAAACTGACTGAATCATAAAATAGACATAATGGCTGCGTCTCAATTCTTGTTTTTTTTTTTTCTTTATTTATTTTTATTACAAAACTTAGAAAGTTACAGTTCACGTTTGCATGAAGGGAAAACAAAGACAAAGAAAATAAAGTAAAACACATAAAAGACAATTTTCAACATCAAAAATTAAAGAACATAGCCAGAGTGACAAAAAATAAGTATCAGTAACATTAATTATAAAATTAGAGTAGATAAATGTTGTAAACATTGTGATGCTGATTTACCCTTTAATCCAGAAATACAGATTATATAATTTTTTAAGTCAACTTTAAAAACACTGAAAAGAGGTTTGTTCTTCATAAATTTTGACTTATGGATGAAGAATTTACCAAGTAAAATAAATAAATTGACTATATATTGTATAGAGGGGTTTGAGTCAGAAAAATAAAAGAAAATGTGAAAACTGGATAAAACTATGTTTGAGCCAAAGTAACCATTAATAAAGCATTGCATATCATTCTGCAGAGAAATGCTATGTGAACAGCTATAAAATAAATGGTCTAATGTTTCTATTTCCAAAGAGCAAAAGAAGCATTTTTCATCTACAGTGGGGATGAATTGTGAAATAAGCTTATTACAGGGGTAATAATGGTGAAGGATTTTAAATGTTATTTCTTTTACTTTGTTTGTAATTAGAAATTTATGTGGGTTACTCCAGGATCTATTCCAGTTAATGTTTTCATACAGGGGGGACCATTTGTACCTGGAAGCAGGGATAGAGTTTGCACATAAAAGGTTTTTAATAACTTTGTTGTTGACTTTTCTGTCTAGAAAAGATAAACCATTTATTGAAATACTGCTGGAGACAAGAACATTTCTTTGATCTAACTCTATAAGAGTAGATCCAACATCGACCTCTCTCAGCTATGAGACCAAGGCTGGACTATTGTAGTTCTTTAATATCAGGAAGTCCACAAACTGTAGTTAAAAGCCTTCAGCTGATCCAAAATGCTGCAGCCAGAGTTCTGATGAAAATGAAAAAGAGAGATCATATCTCTCCTATCCTGGCTTCTCTTCATTGGCTTCCTGTTAAATCCAGAATAGAATTTAAAATCCTCCTTCTCACATATAAAGCCTTAAATGGCCAAGCTCCATCTGATATCAGAGATCTGATTGTTCCTGATGTTCCTAACAGAGCACTTCGCTCTCAATCTGCAGGTTTACTAGTGGTTCCTAGAATTTCTAAAGTAGAATTGGAGGCAGATCTTTTAGTTCTCAGGCTCCTCTCCTGTGGAACCAACTACCAGTTTTAGTCCGTGAGGCAGACACCCTGTCTACTTTTAAGGCTAGGCTTAAAACTTTCCTTTTTTATAAAGCTTATAGTTAGAGTGGCTCAGGTTATCCTGAGCTATTACAGGTGCTGGTCATAAAATTAGAATATCATGAAAAAGTAGATTGATTTCAGTAATTCCATTTAAAAAGTGAAACTTGTATATTATATTCATACATTACATACAAACTCATATATTTCAGATGTTTATTTTGTTTAATTTTGATGATTACAAATGACAACAAATGAAAATCTCAAATTCATCATATCAGAAAATTAGAATATTACTGAAGACCAATAAAAACAAAGGATTTATAGAAATGTTGGCCAACTGAAAAGTATGAACATGAAAAGTATGAGCATGTACAGCACTCAGTATTTAGTTGGGCCTCCTTTGGCCTGTATTACTGCAGCAATGCGGCGTGGCATGGAGTCGATCAGTCTGTGGCACTGCTCAGGTGTTATGATAGCCCAGTGTAAATGGCTACTAAATGTTAAAATTCTCCTTCTTGTTCATTAGTTAAACAGTGACACCTTGTGGTTAATTTGTGCTTTTATTTTGAATAACGCTAGACTTCTTCGTGTGTTTTGTGGTTCTGCACTTCCTGTTCTTGCTAAGCGTGATGAGTCAGCGTTAGATCCTGAAGAAAGCTAAAGAAAATCGTTAAAATAGCGCCCTTGGAAAGCAGAATGAGGTATGAATATGCGCAATTGTGATTTATAATAAGAAATGTTTATTTAAAAACAGTAGAACGTCATTGGTTTATTTGTTTAAAAACGAAACTGTGTGTTGACGAGCTAAGGACAACGTATTCGTATGTGTGAACATTAATGTGCCAATTTTATACAAAAGTTAAGCATATACAACAATTCTGTATTCTTTTATTTCATGCTACAGTTTTCCCGGTGTCTAAAGATTAAACTGCACCCGTTTGGAACTCCCTGCGTCTGGCTGTTTATTCCAAGTGGCCGCTACAGTGAAAACTCACCGCAAGAGACCAGATCTTTCGGCAGTGAAGCTGACACCATCCTTTCTGGAAGCCAGCTGTCTCCAGTCGGACCAATGATCTCACACAGGCAAGTTAAACCATAAAGTTAAAGTGGACCATCACATGAACAAGCTCACAACATAACTGAATTGGCGTAGTGTGTCTTCAGTGAACCCAAAGCAGTTGAAGAAAGCAAAAATGTCACTTCCAACAGAGAAAACAGATAATGCTGTAGACATGCCACTCAGGTCTAGCTCCAGAGAAAGAAAACTAACAGAAAAAGGCCAAGAGATGCACATCCAAGAGAACAAAAAACATGAGAAAACGTTCCACAAGGTCTATGATTCTTGGAAGTGGGTGGCAAGAGAAAGTAGGAAAAAACTAAAGGCCCTCTGTACATTAGAAGAACTCAATGATTTACAGGAAACCATTCAAGCAAAATATGAGGCTGTAAGACTACAGTACGAACCCATTCTACGTAACAGTAACACCACAGCAGAGATTGTCAAAAAGATGGAAGCCTGTGTTACGCTCACAAAAGAAATTTGTGACCTCATAAACAATCGTACAGAGACTATTGATAAAGATTATAATAGTCATCTTGAGAAAGAAAGAGTAAGAGAAACATTAAACAAAGATGAATATGGATCTATCTTTGGTCACACTCAAACTGAAACTGTAAGCTCATCTAAATCATCAGAGGGTTCAAGCAGCCATTCCAACTCATCTAGTACTAATGACAACAAAGCAGATGCACAAGCAGAGCTTGCTGCTAAAGTGGAACAATCAAAGGCCACAAAAGAAATTCAAGCACAACAAGCACAGCTCCAAAAATTAGAAAACGAATGGAAACTTAAAGAGTCAAAGATGCTGTCAGAAATGAAGCAAAAAGAAGTGGAAATGCAACAACAACTGGATCAAGAAAGAGCAAAACTGCAGCGGTTAAAAGAAGAAAAGGAAATAGCTGTAGCAGCAGCTCGTGTGAGAGCATACGATGAATTTGAACGCTGTGTAAGCAATGTTGAAGAAGTTGAAGATCTTAATTACAGAACTAACCCTGTCTTCTCTAGAGATAAACCCTGCTTAAATCCAGATGCTGCATTTTTCCAGCCTTACCAATCAGCTCCAGAGGTGACAACAAATCCAGAGACATCCAATCTAGCTGAAGCAATTGCCAGCTCATTAAGCATGAGTCGCTTACCAGTCCCTGAACCCACAGTATTCAGTGGAGATCCTTTAAGGTTTACTAATTGGAAAATGTCATTTATGACTCTTATTGACAGAAAGCCCCTCCCAGCTAGTGAGAAGATGTTTTATCTCAGAAACTATCTTGCTGGAGAAGCACGCAAAGCTGTTGAAGGTTTCTTCTACTGTGACTCAGAAAGTGCATACATTGGTGCTTGGAAAGTCTTACAGGACAGATATGGCAACGCTTTCATTATACAGAAAGCTTTTCGTGACAAGCTTGCAAGATGGCCAAAGATCAATGCAAATGACTCACTTGCACTACGCGAGTTTTCTGACTTCCTCCAAGGCTGTAAAGAAGCAATTCCACATGTCAAAGGATTAGCTATCCTCAATGACTGTGAAGAAAACCATAAGTTGCTCAAAAAATTACCTGAATGGATTGTTCGCAAGTGGAGTCGAATAGTAGTGGATGAACTTGATGAATCAGGTGATTATCCAGATTTTAAATGCTTCACAGAGTTTTTGAGCAAAGAGGCAAAGATAGCGTGTAATCCCATCGCCTCACCCCTGTTGGGCAATTTCAAGTTTGCAGATGACAGAACCCCAAAGAGAGCCAAAACTTTCAACACAAATGCACAACAAAAAGGTTTCAGTCATGGGGGACAAGATACAAATAGCTGTAAACCAAAATCACTGTGCTATGTTTGTAAAAGTGAGGACCATGGCATCACCAGGTGTCCCGCTTTTGCTTCAAAGACTGTTGAAGATAAGAGGACATTCATACATGAAAATCGGCTCTGCTTTGGTTGCCTGAGAAGGGGTCATGTGACCAAGGATTGTAGGAGACGACACACATGCAATATATGCAGACGTCGTCATCCAACCTGCTTACATGAAGAGAGGAAGGAAAAACCTGTGGAGACAACAACAAATAGCTCCACTTCCACGAAACCACCTTCAAGCCAAGAAACACACAGAGTTGTGTCCCATACTTCAACACAGCATACTTCTGCCACCACCAGTATTGTACCAGTACTTGTGTCTTCACTACAAGAGCCACATAGAGAAATACTAACATATGCAATGCTGGACACACAAAGTGACTCAACATTTGTGTTAGAAGATGTCATTGACAGACTGAATGTGGATTCTCATCCAACAAAGCTGAAGCTCAGTACTATGACTGCTGTCGACACAATCATTTCCAGCAAGAGTGTTCATGGTCTACAAGTTCGAGGACTTAACTCGGACAGTCGCATCCAACTACATCAAGCTTACAGCAGAGATTTTATCCCAGTGGACAAGTCGTACATCCCAACGAAAGAAACTGCATTAATGTGGCCTCATCTCAGAAACTTGGCAGATAAGTTACCACCCGTTCAAGACTGTGATGTAGGGCTTCTCATTGGATACGAC